CACCCTGGGCACCCACTGCCAGGCCCAGGGTCACCAGGGTGCTTTGCGACTTACATGTGCCCAGACCAGCACAGCCATCACATTCCCATCTGGTTATGCTGTCCCTCAGGCCAGAGCAGTGTCTGTGGGTGCCCTCGGCAGCACAGGAGGAGCACAGGAGCAATTGCCAGGGCCTGGGGAAGCAAACAGGTTCATGGAGGTGAGGACAAAGTGTCCAAAGTGTGGGATTATCTGGCTGAGCTCTTCTCCTGGGTCCTTCTGCTTCAAGCCCTGCAGAGCCCTGGGAGGCAGCTTTGGCAACTTACCCCTCCTGCTCTGCCTCCTGCCTGCCTCCTGGACAAAGGCACTCACTGGCATCGCAGTGCCTGTGTCTCTCTCCGAACTCAGCGAATGCATCATTCCCCTCCCATGATGGTGGTCTGAGGAGAAAAGGGAAAACTGATGAGCCCCCTCTGCCCTGGCATCGGGCAGGTGCAGGGTGTCCCTGCTCTTCCCCCTGTGCCATTTCCAACTCCTGTGTGAAGCTGAACCCGGGACTCATGGAACAGTGCAGGGCCAGGACTGCTGGGGCAGGCCCTGGCACAGCACAGCACTTGCACCCCCTGTGTTGTGAGCCAGGCAGAAGGACACCAACCTCAAGGGGACTTGGATCCCAATGAATTGCATATGACTGACAAATGTGTCATGATCTCTGCAGAGGGGGCACTGGATCACTGAATAACCAGCATGCAGAGCCACTCCCTGCAGGAGAAACACAAGTAGCCAGAGTGAGGCCCTGGTGCTGCTGAGCCCCTTCTGTGCCACCAGGGGTGAGGGAACCACTCCTACTTGGATGCAGTCCCTGTGGAACCAGGCGGTTTTGCAGGCTGGGCACACCAGGGTGTTGAAGGTCTTTCTGTCCTCCACAGGCTCCATGCAGATGAGGCATTCGGTGCCCGGCTTCGGAGTCGCCTCCACTGGCTGCTGTGGTCTGTGTGCGGGGCAGAAGCCCCTTGGGGGAAAAGGGGTGGGTGAGGTGAGAAGTGCTGGGCTCTTCCCTGGTGGTGGCAAGGAAGGGACAGGAGGTACCTGTATGGTCT